GGGCCCATTTGCTCCCAGCTTCCTGGGGGAAAGTTTCACTGGTCCCTTGCCGAGTATATAGACTTTGCTCTGAGGTTGAGTGGATCAGCTTTTACTGTGGGTGTCATGGAGGAGCATGCCACTTCCCCAAAGTCTGCTCACGTCATGCATGCCAAGCCACAGCCTGCTCACATCATGCCTGCTACTCCAGGACCTGCTCAGACCATGCCAGTTAAGTCTAAGTTTACTCGTGTCATATCTAACAAGTCAGAACCTGTTCACTTCATGTCTGCCAAGCCAGAGTCTGCTAATGTCATGTCTGCTACCCCAGGGCCTGCTCACGTCACGTCTGTCAAACCAGAGCCTGCTTCCATCATGTTTGCTACGCCAAGTCCTCTTCACGTCACGTCTGCCAAGCCAGAGCCTGCTCACATCATACATCATCATCACACTCAGGAGATTCTTCACAATATGGCCGCCATTGAAGAGCTTCGGTGCAAGATGGCCGCCACACAGGAGTCTCTTCACAAAATGGCTGCCCTTCTAGAGTCTCGTCATGACATGGCAGCCATTTCAGAGACTGCTCACATCACGCCTGAGTCCCCGGCCAAGATGGCCGCCACGCCTGAGTCCCCGGCCAAGATGGCCGCCACGCCTGAGTCCCCGGCCAAGATGGCCGCCACGCCTGAGTCCCCGGCCAAGATGGCCGCCACGCCTGAGTCCCCGGCCAAGATGGCCGCCACGCCTGAGTCCCCGGCCAAGATGGCCGCCACGCCTGAGTCCCCGGCCAAGATGGCCGCCACGCCTGAGTCCCCGGCCAAGATGGCCGCCACGCCTGAGTCCCCGGCCAAGATGGCCACCACGCCTGAGTCCCCGGCCAAGATGGCCGCCATGTCTGAGCCTCTCCATGTCGCGACTATCCCCAAGTTTTCCCCTAAGGATTTTTTTGGGGGGGGCTATAGTAGCCAAGCTCCTGCGAATGCGGAGCTTGGGCCAAGACTCAAAGGACTGATTGCTAGTGTGATGGACCCACCTCTGATGTCGGTGCGAGCTGCAGGCGTCCCGGCGACGTCAGCACTCTCAAGCCCCACCATCTTAGAGTCATGTCACACTCTGCGGCCCTTCCTGTAATGGCGGTCGCCATTTTGAGCGTGTGGGCTGCACATTGCGCTCCAGAGGCCTCTCCTGTCCACGAGTCCGCTCCAGAGCCCTCTCCTGTCCACGAGTCTGCTCCAAGGGCCTTTCCTGTGCATGAGTCTGCTCCAAGGGCCTTTCCTGTGCATGAGTCTGCTCCAAGGGCCTTTCCTGTGCATGAGTCTGCTCCAAGGGCCTTTCCTGTGCATGAGTCTGCTCCAAGGGCCTTTCCTGTGCATGAGCCTCCAGTGGATTGATCGTTACACCACTGTGAGCCAAAATATATGTATAAATAAGTTATTATAAATTATTAAAATGAATGCTTAACAATAGTGCTGTTCATTTGAATGAAACAATACACTACACATTGAGTGAGGTTTAATTGTGTATGGAAATGCTTACTACACCTCTAAAGGTTTTATCATCCCTTATTGTGTGCTTATTACAAACCAAAATGCCACAAAAGGCATAATATTTAAGAGCATTATAAAACTTTTTGTCTCGTAATCCATAAACTAAGGGACTCAGACAACAAGGCAAGATCAAAAACAATATGAAATTTGAGTACCTTACATTCAAAAATACCATGACATTTACTTTCCATAAAGGCATTTCTATATAAGGGATTAAAAGCTGCATCATACACAGAAGCAGCTGAACACCATGGAGAATTATAGTTTTGAGACCCTTATTTGTGGAGTTCTTCCTCTCGGAGGAAGCAGATCTAGCTGCCAACATAATCTTGATGTAGGTGGAAACAATAATACACAACATTATGATGAATAAGAGCTGTAGACTCGTCGCTCTCATGTCTGCCAGCCATTTTTTCTGTAACATGACCACTACAGTACACACAACATAAAGGTGCAAGACACCAGGAGGGATGTAAACAAAACAGACTATGAAAATAAACAATGGTATAACAAAACTGAAACTCCATATGACAAGAAGCCCAATGAAGGTGTTTTTAGGGGTGGAGATGCTGGCATGTCTTAAAGGTATACATATGGCCACATGGCGCTCCAAACACATGGCTACAAGAGTCATGGGTGAACAAACAGCGAGCAAAGACATAAGTGTGCAGAAGATATAGCAAGGAATTATGTGCACGGGGTACTGGTGAGACGACCCCATGAGGGTTAAATCAGTCAACAGCATAAGAGCAGAGTCAACAAAAAGAGTCTGAGCAAACAGAATGTAACGTGTTTCCCTGAAGGTCTCTTTCTTCAGAAAGGTGAAAATCATCAGTCCGTTCACACAGAGAAGAATCCCCACCAGTACCTGCACCAGCAAAAGCTTCTCATGCATCAAATTAGATGTGCTGCTCAAATTGTTGTTTTCTGTTAAGTTCATCTTGACTGCAAAAATAAGCCATTAAAAAACATCATAAAGTCAGAAGGTGTAAGTTGTGATGTACCTCAAGGCAAATGGTGAAAACCTCTTAGCTATCCTCCCTTTGTGCTGTTTTTATAGAGCTTTAGATGGGCTGGGCCTTATTTTGTTTACAGACAATCATATGACATCAGTGCAGATGCTTCTATGATCTCAGTGGTGATTTCATCATTTGGGATGAATCTGAAAATAAAATGATAAAATATAAAACGTAAAGATGATATTGTGTGTGGGTGTTTTTAGGCCAATAGAACCAAATCAAACCATGCAATGGATCATTACCATGGCAGTCTAGCTTTATATAAAACACATAACTGTCAGGACTCAGGTTTGATCTCCATTTGTTTTCTTTTTTTCTTTGTTTTTGTTCTTCCACGTGCGTTCGCGCACAGCTGATTGTCAGGGGGAAAGAATGAGGATTCAGTAGCGAATGTGCAAATAATGTATATTGGGAATTCCCAACCAGAAAGATGACGAGAGTCAGACAGGTGAGAGACGGAGATAACTCTGGGTAGTGCAGGGACACAACGGGCAGCCGATGATCGAGGATCCGTGCAGCGAAGCCCACGGCAGAGGTGGGAAGGAAACTCCAGGAACTGGTCAGAAGTAGAGAGACACGAACTGAACACGGTAACGACATAGGACGATCTGACAACACAGGACAGAAAACACAGACATTAAATAGGATCGCTGATCAGCCACAGCTGGCGCTAACCAGCTGATGGCACTTATCAGCGGCAACACAAACCACACCCACACCCACACTCACACGGAGAGAGCTAGAATGAGTCAGTGAGCCCATAAACCGCGACAGCTGATAGTGTTTCATAATCAGCACGATCGCTCGTTAATGCGCACCTGTTTTCTTTCACTGCTTGATTTCTCTCCTATATCTAAGCCGTTTCTTTCTCTGCTTTTTGCTAGTGTGTTCTGTTTCTTTGCCACTCACTAGTTTGTTTCTTTTCTTGTTCAAGTCTGATTTAGTTGGGGTTTTTTTTCTTTTTTTTCTGTCCATTTTCTTTCTGTCCAGTTGTGCTGTGGTTCCCTGTTTTTCTTCAGAACTCACTGACCCCGGACTGTTAAGTATTGCTGACCTAATGGACTGTTACTGACTCTGGAGTTAGGATTTCCCCAGAGGTTCTGTTCGCCTTTTTGGATTGCCTCGCTGTTATGTTCATCTGCCTGTTCTGGACTGAGTTTTTGATTGCCTGGATTGATCTGCCTGCAGCTTGCCTGACCTTCTTACCTGCTTGATTCAGTTTCTCATCCTGTGAATTGGATTTGGTTGCTGGTGGACTGTCCCGGACTTTGACCTTGCCTTCCTGACAATTCTCCTGTCAGTTCTCCTATTATTGTGCTTCAATACATTTGAGTTAAGAATTATTCTGCTTTTGGGTCCTTCCTTCCAGAGATCGTTACACCACACACTGGCCAGACATGGACCCAGCGGAAGGATCTCCTTCACTATCAGCTATGGAGCTTCAAGGAGCCATGCTAGGCCATCATGAGGAGGAGTTGGTCAGTGCTTGTCTTTCTATGGCGTCTTTGAGCTTTCAGATCAGCTGGAAAGAGTTCAGCATTTCCAACTCCTGTGCTGCCAGCATCAACCGGCTTTGATTCCATTTGCGAACCTCGAGTCAACAACCTGCTTATGCTGACGAGCCTACCAACTGTTGCTCCTTCATCATTCAATGTGAGGTGGTGTTTTCTCTTCAGCCTTTGACTTACGCAACAGAGAGATCAAAAGTGGCATATATCATCTCACTGCTGTCTGGTTGAGCTCGCCACTGAGGTGCTGCTGTTTGGGAGTCCCAATCCTGAAGCTGTTTTGATTTCCAGCTTTTCAAAGTCTAAATGATTAAAGTTTGATCGCTGTTGGTGGCTCTTCATCAAGGCAAGCGATCGGTGGCGGATTATGCAACTGAGTTTTGGACTCTCGCATCTATGAGTCAGTGGAATCCAGTAATGCTGGTGGTGCGATTCTTGGGCGGGTTTGTTAATGACATCAAAGATGTGATTTATGCCTGTGATCCCCCAGAACATCTGGATGATCTCATTAATATCGCCATCTGTCTTGATTCTAGAATGGAGCTGTGTCATTGAGTTTGGGGTCAGTCCATCAGACATTAAGCGGAACTCCCTGATTTTTTTTTTGTTTCCCGGGTAACCAAAGCATCTGTTGAAGCCAAGCCAATGCAGGTTGGCAAAAGGATTCTTTCTGCTGAAGAAAAACAACGATGCTTGTCTGGAGGCCTCTGCCTGTATTGTGGTGGCCATGGTCATCTTGTCCAGTAAAAGCCAGTGCTCGTCAGTAGTCAGGGCAATTCTGGTGAGCGGAACCTCTGTTTCCCCAGCTCAACGATCTCACACTCTCCTGCCTGTGACTGTCTTTAGTAATAGGGCTGCACGGTAAATCGCATGTGATTGTCATGCGCATCTTGACAGTAAAGCCGGTTCTGTGATTAGTAGTAAATCTCCATCACGTGCTTTCAAATTGAGCGGCATTTAATACACCGAGCCGTAGTTCACTGACAAGCTATGCAATATCATGTTCATAATCAAATGCGATTAATCTGTGATTTATGAACACGATATTGCGTAGCTTGTCAGCGAACTACAGCTCTGTGTAGTAAATGCTGCTCCATCTGAACACATGCTGTTGTCGTACCTTGTCAATCCGGTCCGGGGGACGTACTAAAATCACAGCGGAATTTCATATTTTCTTTATGTCTTTATCATTTGTATACTTAGATTTTTATCTTATGTAGCAAATTAGCTCAAAAAGGAAATGTGTATATAAATAATTATAATTATTTATATCAGCTTCCAGTAGTAACTGTAGCAGAATTAATATTCCAGTCAACTAATCTGTTCGTCCAGTGAACATTCAGTGTCATTTCAAATTCAACTCTAAGAAATATTATTTTCGTGACCACAGAAAATAACTTTCTTACAGTACTAATGCATTAGAGCATGTCACAAGATCAGGAATCGTTTAAGTGACATTGATTTGCAAGCAGTGACAGACTCAAATTGTATGTAATTTGTGCACAAAAGATTTATTAACCAAACTAGTCTAACAAACATATACACTTACGCATACATTCTGTGCATACATGGGCAAAAGGGGAGTAGAATTGAATGAAACCGTTAGAAACCAGAGGATGAATCTATGGAAAGGAGTTAGTTAAGCACCTGAGCAAAAAAATCACATTCTTCCGTGTTTGAAGAGTGACAAACTCCTAAGATGTTATTCTGACTCTGTGGTAGTTGGGAGAGTTTTTACCCAAGGTGGAAAGTGAAGACATGGCTGTAGTTGAGGCCTGCCAGGCATGGCTGCGCTGGCCCCGGGAATTAGTGAGTCTCACACAAGCAGCAAGCAGAAGAGCAGCAGAAGGTGATGAGAGAGTGATATGGAAGAAAAATAATGGCAAATGTCTTTGAAACAAAAAAGTATGTTGAATTGCACTAACTGAAAAAAATAATGCATTGTATTAACAGTGCTTGCATTTTAATGCCTTGTATTTTCAGGGCTTGCATTTTTAGGGGCTGAAATTCAACAGTTGTTTATTTAAGCTGTGAATATTTCAATTCAAAACATTTCACACTTTCATAATTAAAAACTTAATTCATATTCACCTTCCGAAATACTCAATCTGTTTAAAAATACAATGTATAATATTTGACAGGCATTTTTCAGTCCATTTTATTTCAATTTACAAATTTGCTTCCACAAATTCAGTGGCTAAAATTCAGCATTGCACATCCGGGAACTGCAGGATTAGCAGGAGAGTACCGATGCATGATCTCCACCTGCTTTTAGTTGCTCATCAGCAGGTGGTGCAAGCGGGTGTTGATGAAGACCAAAGCAACATGTATTCATTCACAAAAACTGATCGGCAGAAATGGAGCAAGCGTAAGTAGAGTAGAACTTACGATTATCGGGGCCAGTATGTATATGCGGAAAAGCTGATTAAGACTCAAAAGTTGTGTTTACATTTAGTTCAGCATCTCCACTGTAATTAATTTCCCCGTGTAGCCACATGTAAGCAGCTTTCTCTACCAAAGGAGATTTATAATGCTTTTTTTACCCGACACTGATATACAGAACTAACATCTAAGACATATATTGTTTTCGGTTGCTTAGTTTCCTTAACTTTGTATCATGGCTTGTATGACGCTGTGTTGTAATACTGGGGTTTCCCCCTTACATCACACTCCTTCTCCAATGATGCTTAACGTGCCTCAATGAACTAATACAGTGATATAAACAAGACCAACCTCATTATACATCTTATTGATGATGCAAACTATACAGGCAAGTAGATGTACTCAGAATATAAACGTAATGCGCAAGGTTTTACGCGTTTCCCTCAGAAATCTGTTACGAAGAAAACACTTCACGTGGTTCACAATGATAGTATTAAAAGAACAAATTTAGAATACACCTTACTGATGATGCAAACTATATAAAGGTAAGCAAATGAAACCAGAATACTGCATGTTAAACATTTCCCATAAAGAAAACACTTAACGTGATTTATCGCCTCATAATACATGACCAAATTTGGTGTCTAATTAATAAAATATACTATTTACAGATAAGCAGATGAGTCCAGAATATTAACACAAACCACAAAGATTCACCTAAGCCTTTTTCTCCCATAGAAGAGCGGTAAAGTTAGTTCTCTTGCATCTCGTGTTCGAGATCCACCTATGGAAAGGGCATCCGTACCTGCCCTCTGCAGAAGCATCCGATTGCACCAAGTCTGGCTAGACAGACAGAAGCACGCAGCAAGTGCTCGGTAAGGCCCACCCCCTTACTTGAGAGCATATAAAGCCTGCATGCACTGCTGTTCTCCAGTTGACATTCGCTTCTCACGATCTCTGTACTAACACAGTTCAGCTGGATTGTTCACTGTTCACTTACGTGTCTTTAAGAGGAAATATCACTAGATCAGCCTCCGCCAGATGTGACAGTCTTCTGTTCAGCCAAGGTTAGCTGTGTTTTGCGTCTTGAGCCACCCACGCTCTTGCATTATCTCACCTGCTCCCCTTCCACGGCTGCCCGCCACGGATCTTTTTGCCAATATGTCGCTCTCTTAATCTGCCGCTCCTCCCGAGAACAGCTCATCGCGAGCGGCAGCCGGACGACGGACGAAGAAGCTTCCCCTGGAACTTATGCAGTCGGCAACCGGACGTTTTATGTTTTATTGCAGCCGATCTCTGTTCTGGAATTATACAAACTGCGTTGCAATACAATCATTTTCCAAAATGTCATTTATGTGAAAATATGAGGTCAGTAAATGCCCATTAACAGAGGCCAGAGATGCTGAAGACGGACACACAGAGAAAAATACTGTAGCAGGCAGATCACTGTTCATGATGCACGAACTATTGGAAGAAAATTCTAAATATTGATTTGGTGGTTTATATGAATGTGTTTCTGAGGGGAACTGACTGTCTTCAGAAAAGTTTAGATGGTATTTTCTTTTCATCTCGTCTCTGTATAATTCACATTAAAGCAGTGTTTCAGCGCAGCACTGCTTTGTTTACAGCGGTAACCAAGGAAATGCTGTATCTGCTGTTCCATAAGCGCCTCCTGCTGTCAGAGGGTGAATCTGCAACTCATTCAGCCCGTCTGCTGTTTGTTTCATTCAGGTATGTAGTAGAATTTCACAAATCTAGTCAGAACATTC